CTAAAATAGTTGAGACCAGCTCATAGAGGCATTGAAGTACTTCCTTTTCTTCAGGCATGCTTTACAGCACACGGATGAGCCTTTCCAATGTTGAGTGTCTACGCAATGCCACAATTTTCATCTCGTCGTCAGATTTGCCGTTAAATAATGGTATGAGCAAGATCCGGAATCGAATCTGCATTAACTGTCCGAACATATCATACATATTGAGGCTTACATTGTTGAACTTCGAACGCCTATTACATCTAGTCATTTTTGTAAGGCGAGCTTGAACAACATTAAAAATGTAGTCAATTTTAGTCACGTACAAATGCAGTGTGCTCACATAATGATGACTAGAAACTCGTCTTTTTGTGTGTGAGTGTAAACACTGTCGAGTGTCAACTAATAGAAAATGTGGTCCTAAGCGTTAGTATGTGCCCACACTGATCACAGATTGGCTCCATTTGAGCCTATTGGTGACAAGTAAGATGATTGTCACCTTTCTGTAGACCCTAGCGCATTTAGAGGGCGTTCATGGGGTTATTGGTTAATCAGAGAGGATGAGGAACAGAAATTATAGAATACCGAGAAAAAAATGCCATACTCAGAATGCAGGCAATCTTGACACCTCCACTTCACTATAAGATTTATAAAGAATTTTCTCCTTTTTAGCTTATCGTCGTCCAATTCTAGGTCTGTAGGTCTGGCCGCTGGCTTGGTTTACAGGACGGGTCAGCAAGGAACTCAACACTGTCTTTGAGTATGGTCAAAATTAGGGCACTAGCAACATTGAAAGTGGTGGTAGGAAGAGAGTGTAGGGTAATGGCAAACATGGTGGCAGAAGCAAGAAGAATGAATATTATGTTTGCCCTTGAAGCCGAATTATTGGTTTATGGTTCAGCAAAATGTCGTTAGATAGGGTTGATTCTGCCTAAAATCTTGCAACCGTCTTTGTTCCTTCACCGAACTAAACTGGTTCCACGCCAGCCAATAGCTAGTACTTGATTGTTGTCGCTCAACAGCGACTGGGAACATTCGGCTTTTTTAGGCTCAAAAGTAAGGAGTCGGGGGATGAGCCTGCAGAGCTGATGCGTTTGATTTACAATTGACGTTTTCTGCGTAGAGTAGGGAGTTCCCATCTAACGAATTCCTTGTAGGCTTTTGCTAGCTTGTCCTTTATGCAACTGCCAGTGTGGCAGAAGTGCATGAATAAGTGGCTACTTCGGCAAAGGGGAAGACGTTTCACTTTTAGGTGATTTGTACCAAAGCTATTCTTATCGATTTACCGAGATTCACATCAGTCATGTTACAGCCTTTCCACAAATTCGCCATCTAAGGATAATTGAAACTATTTGCAATCTACTGTTTACCAAAATCAAAAACAAATTGATCCGTTCACTCTTCTCTATCGCTTCAAGGTGCACTGTTTAGTTTGCCCAAGGAGAGGAAAAAACAATGGATGGGAGTTTGGCACAGGCTCTCAGCTAATCCGTGCGATCGGTGACGCAGCTCTTCCTGGCACTGATTGGCTGCTAAAGGGCCAATCAGAAGCGAGCAATTTTAATGGTGAGCCTCAATGCCGTGGGGTATTGCTGCCTAAGACGCAAGGCAGGACAAAATAGCGAAATCATTGCAACCAGTTATAAAGTCATGAAAGAGGTCTGTTAATAATCTTCTAACCACCGTAAGTTTATAGATCTCTTTCTCTTATCTATCGGCTGCAAACCGCTGTAATATGCATTTCCTAAGCTCTTAAATTAATCAACTCACCGTTTTTTAATAGGCAAAGATTTGTATCAAATACTGATTGTATAAGCTTGGTTTGTATTGGAAAGTTTTCATAATTACCGATTCCATATTTCAAAACTATGAGTTGCTTTATTCGTGGTCAACCTCTCCTTGGAATACAAAAATGAGGAAGATAGCTTTGAGAAACAAATTTGAATTCAAGTCACTTGATGAAAAGAGAAGGACAAGTCCCTGCAACTATCCCCTAAACATATTGTTTAGTCACTGTACGTGTATGCAAAAAGTTAGATTGAAAATAGTGATAAATGAACCTTCCTTCGTGCTCTTAATTCAGGATTCAGAAGATGGCTGGAGTGACCGTAAACTTTATTTAACGCCAATGAAAAATTAATGGACAGCGTGCAGTACCAGATGAAAGAGAATCTTGCAGGGCACTATGGTTGTGTAGGCTGTGCACAAACTTAAGCTGCAAGTTAATGCAGATTGAGTGATTTACTGCAGCCCGCTGGCGGTCGCACGAAACAGCTTCATAAATTTGTGGCTTCTACTGCATATGATGGCTCATGCCAAATGGTGTGTAAAATAGAGGAGTAGGCCTTCAATGACATGCGGAAATTAAACTGCGAAGGTTTTCCATTTGGCTTCTTAAGCTTCCAAGCTGTCATGAGTTGTGCGGGTTGCCCTCCTCAGTCGTAGGTACTGAGCAGATCCCTTTTGCGTCTTCTCTGTAAATAGCAAATCAAAGCGATCTTGTTCTAGTCTTCTGATCTCAAATATCAAACCCGGAATTATTACTGCTTTTGATAAATTACCAAAGGTGCGATTCTTTGACAACTTTTCTGAAAACTGTTAGTGGTAAGTGGATGTGAGCTGACCAGGGATAAAAGAATTGGACAAGACCGTGAATCAACCACTTAGCAAAGCGCATATTTTCCGCGGTTTAAATAAATTATTATGTACATGTCTTTATCTTTTTTCTTTGAGGTCCTGGATTCAACAAAATTTAGCTTCGAGGGCATACACTTTGACACCTGCAAAGTCAAATAAGTGCAACTCTACCTGACTGATGTGAACAAATGCAAAAGTGTTGATTGAAGGGTTGTAAAGTCGCTAACTGTTCTTTGAGAATGAACTTTGCTTCTGGGATATAGTTTTCTGTGAAATCTCCAATTTGACTAACTCGAGATTTAAAGTTATCGCTAGCCTTTTAAATCAAAAGCCTTTTGATATGAGCTTTGCTAATCCTCTTTTATAGTATGTTAACCCGAAGTTTTGTCTTTTTGATAGAGGTCAGGTTCCGTTAACACAATCCTTCACGAGAACACATTTACAATCAACTTTCTGACATGTAAAACCTCCACTTGTGGCTTAAATAATCTCGGTAAACTAAAATCACTGTTAACTATCTAGGGAGATGTATTGTGGGAGTGAGGTATTCTTTTCATCATAACATTAACAGCTATCACTAATCACAGAGTAAAAGGGTCAAAGATTTGTTCTCGATGACGAGTGTATGGCAATAGCAACTTGTCAGCAAAACCATGGTTTATGAACTGACCTAGAACCACTTTATAGGCCATTTGTAAGTTTAAATATTCAACCAAGGATTCCGGCAAAATGATAGCTTATTTTGCAATATTCCATAGTTAGGAGAGCTTCGACTCCGTAAAAGGGGAGTATTTAGTTAATTAAAGCGTTGTTTTGACCTTTCTTGGAAAAAGCATGATACCGCAGCCGTTGTGTATTTTCCCAACGGCGATTGGTTGGCTCGTTGGGATTCTCTGCCGATTTAAACCAATCATCAACTGGGCAAAATAGATTCTTAACACGCGAAACCAGACAGCGGCCATGTTAACGAAATACGCACTTATCAAATGACCTAGAATAAGTGTCTCGGCTGTATGATCAGTTATTGAAGTGCTGAAAGTGGGGTTTCAGTTTTGGCATCCCCATCATCCTTCCCGGCTTCCCTCTCGGTAGACCTCTCACGAGCCTGTTGTCTTTGGGCATTGGACGTAGTAGAGAAGAGAGAGGAAGTATTTATTGCTGGTCAACCCCAGAGATGTTCTTCTCCTTTGCTAGCACGGCTTTTAAACCAAATTCCTGCCTCCTGCCCATAAGGCATATTTAAACAACCCATATGTAGTACACACTTCCTCCATAATTATTTACGCGGAATTTCGTTCCGTCTGCTTTCCCCGAAATCAGAGAAAGGCCACGCCCTCCTAACTATCCATAAAGGCACTGAACTTACTTCACAGCCTTGTTATTGAATCCGATGACATTATTTCACTTTCGAATGTAAACAGCATTGTTGGTCGAAAAATATTATTTTCGGAATAATTGTTAACAGTAGCTCTTCGAGATTGTGATATTGCCTCACCATCTTCTAGGCTAGTTGCTGACCAATCACCATTTCGTAGACTGATTGGTTGACAAGGGCATATGTTTAGGTAGATGAACTTTTTACACCATATCGGATGATCAAATAAGCAACACGAGTTGCTGGGTGGCATTCACTGCCAAAAGCTAAAAAAAGTCTCAGGGAATGCAGTGAGTTTATTCCCCTCATGCTTATAATGTCCTTAGAATTGAGAGAAAAGGAAATTTCATTTTTTGCATTCCTGTGTGATTGCACGGTGAGGCGATGGCCGTCACAAATTTATCCATTTAACTGCTCATATTGCCGCAATAAAATAAGTTTTGCCATTGGGGAAATTGAAGAGGTGGCAGCCACATTTGCGGATTGGTTGATTGACTGTGAACCGACAAATCGCATTAACCCTTATAATCGTCTCACTGTTTTCCAGCAAGTTTCATTTGTTTTGAGCGAAACGACTTGTCAACAATGTCAGCAATAACTCAGGAGAATTCCTTCCTCCACCCATGCATGGTACAGCCTTTTCTGACTTACATGCGATGGGAGAGTGAAGTTGAAAAGCTTAACGAGTTGCTTAGTCGGTGCATAGAAACATCTCGACAACATCCGACAGAAGACAGCATTTAAATGAATGCAAGGTACGATAATCTGACATTATCAAATGCGATACAGCTGACAGAAGAGATGAGATTTCGCTTATGTGCATAGATGTAGCCGTTTGCTTCCGTTATGCTTTCTTCCTATCTTCGCGGATGTTTGCACACGGCATAATGCAGGATTTGGGAAAATAGCCAATAGGAATGAGTAGCACGTTTGTAATAGCTTTTATTTTGATTTTCCTGTGTGATAGAGCTGCTAAGCCGTAAATTTTCATCGCATATTGCAGCCAATGTCCGATTCAAATAGCCAAAATCATCAACAATTTATTGAAAACGCTAAGAAAGACCGCCAAATCTCCACATCCTCTTCATCCACAACCCCTCGATCACCTCGAGCACCTCCCCTGATTTCCAAATTCCGCGGTGAACCGCCTCCGTCTTATCCTTCGGTAAAGAGCGCTGACTCTCATCGAAAGCCTCTTAATGGCTCCGAATGCCTCTTCGCTGCCACTGCTAGACCCAACCGGCCGTCCTTTTACGTAATTCACCCCGAGTGGGCTAGTGAGGCGGCCGATGTGTCCAGGCTATCGCCACGCATGACAGCCTCTGTCTCGACTACAAGGGAGGACGTTCGCAAACGCACCCCACGGGAGATACAAGGATCTTCAATGACATCAAGAGGAGAAGAGGTAAGGGGAATCCTACCAGTGGATAGAGGAGACGAAAGCATGTTCTCAGTGGCACGCAGAGCGGCCGCGCATAACCCTGTGTGGCCCCACCGTTGCAAGAGCTCACCACCCCAACGTTCTCGTGACCCTATTGCTTGGGTGTAAAGGCACTCTCTGTTTTGCTTGATTAAATGTGGTAGTAACTGCTTTGACCTCTCTTTTATTCTCACCAACAAATTGTTTTACGGAATCCAGAGCCATCTCAAGACCGTAATCCAGTGAAACGTTCACCATCGGAGAACACACAAAATCCATACCACCTTGTTTCTTGTCTAAGTCGATGACGAAGAGCGGATTATG